ACTGTCTGAATGTACAGCCCCCTAGGTCTTAAAGGCATATGTCTCCAATGCTGGCTGTATCCCTGAACACACAGAGATCTATGGGATTAAAGGCGTGTGCTACCACCGCCACACTCTGTCTAGGGCTCTAATAGCTCTGACCCCCAGGCAACTTTATTTATTAACATACAATCAAAATCACATTTCAGTACAATTAGAATACCACCACAACTAACAAAGGATTTTTTTTCCTATTTAAAAATTTGGTATGGGATTTTTGTTTATGTGGGCTGGTGCACTTATACATTTGGGATTGAGGTTTATATACACACCCGTGTACATGCATGCTGAGGCAAGAGAGAAAGAGACAACAGGTATCTTTCTCTGTTGCCCTCAGATCCTTAGTTCTTTCAGTGTCTGTTACTGAACCCGAAATTCACTATTTGAACTTAATTGTATGGGCAGAGAGCTGGGGAGATACCCCTATTCACATCCTCCCAGTATCAAAATATTAAAAAAAAAAACACTTTCAGTTTCTGAATCATTGTCATTTGAAATTCCTGAGGAAAGAATTTCACTTTCCACTGTATGTACCAGTGTATGATCATCACTCCTTTATGAACAGTTGCTATTTCTATGTCTAATTATCATGACAAATAAGAAATAGTTGCTTCATTTTACTTTGTCATCATTATGTAAAATGAAAACATGGAAATTCCATAAACAAGAGTAATGCTTTATTTATTCCTCCAATTTAATCTGAAAACAGATCACAGCTACCATTTACTAAACCTGTTTATATATATTGAAGTTAAATAGTCATAAAAGTCAGCATGCCATAAAAATTCATTATCTAAACCTTGACACTGTGAGAGGAAAATTAAATATTTAAACACATTTGTTTTGCATCTTCATTTGTCTTTATTTGTAGAATAAACTGGTAATATATTAAAAGATGTGTAATTGTTTTATTGGAATCACTTTCAGGGGATGAGGAAATGGCTCAGTGCCTAGGAATAGGAGAGAGATTTGGCATCTGGGATAACGTAAAACATCTTCTCTGTTTTACCTATTCAGTGTTTACCCTCCCCCAAATTCCTATTAATCAATGATGCTTTATCAGTCCATTGTTTTTGCCTTTCAAACAATGGTATGTGTGAAACGGTAGCTGACTGTCTTCAGTTGGTAATATAAATTTAAAATTCACCCAGATATTTTGATATCTCCATACATCTCTTGTTTTTATTGTGGCATAATGTTCTATTTATAACAGTAGCACTATAGTTTTCTTTCTTGTTAATTCATCACTTGAAGGATATCTTCTTGTTCCTGTTGCTTGGCATCTAAAAATAAATTGTTATAAACAGACAAACAAACAAACACAAAAGAGTTATGGAGCCTATTCCAAATGGATACATCTACAAAACATCCTGTGCCTAGTACTCGGGGAAACATTGTGGATGAGTGAGTGGAAAGATTGTAAAAGTCAGAAGTTCAGGGTATTTCCTGTGAGATTATGTTTCCTAAAAGGATCAGAAACTTGACCTGATAATTCTCACCCACATGATTGTCCAAATATGAGATGAACAAGAATAACACCAGCAAGTATGCCAAACTGGATAAGGAAAACCCCACAAGGCCTCACAAAGAACAATAGTCAACTAAGTAAAGCTGGGAGCAGGAGAGGTAGCCTTCCCCAGGCAAGAGAATGTAATTGGTTGTCCAGGTCCAAACGGTCAGCCATGAAAGCATAGGTATAAGTAATATTATACAGACTCAACAGGTTATATTTAGGAATATATGTATAATTGCAAATACATATGTTCATGTAATAACATTTGATGAAAAACAAGGCCATGAACTTGAAGGAGAGAAGGGAGGGGAGGGAAAGTATAGAAGGAGACATGTTGTAATTAAAATAAAATATCAACTTTAAACAAGACAAAAGAGAAAAAATAAACAATTAAAAAAGTACAATGATTAAAAGCAATTTGAAAGAGAAAGGGTTTATTTGGATTACATTTCCTGTTCACAGTTCCTCATGAAGGAAATCAAGGCAGAAACCTGAGGCACTAACTGAAGCAGAAACTGTAAAGGAAGCTCACTTGGTCACAGTCAGCCCTTGCTTGGACCCAGGGGCATTTCCAGAACCAACATATGTCTGTGCACAACTACCTGTAATTCCAGCTCCAGGGGTGATATGGGGCTCTAATTAGTCTTAATCAATAAAAACCAGGAGTCAGATATTGAGGGTGAAAGCTGAATGATTAGAGAAGCAGAGTAGCCAGCCACCAAAGACTTCTTAACTCTACAAAATTTCAGACTTAATGACCAGGGTCCATCTCTATGAATATTCCTGTCTCTACTACTTTTTTTGTTGTTATTGTTTTGGTTTTTGAGACAGGGTTTCTCTGTGTAGCTTTGTGCCTTTCCTGGAACTCACTTTGCAGACCAGGCTGGCCTTGAACTCACAGAGACCCACCTGCCTCTGCCTCCCAAGTGCTGGGATTAAAGGCGTGCGCCGCCGCCACCCCCCCCCACCCCCACCCCCACCCCGCATGTCTCTACTTTCTTAATGTTGGGATTAAAGGCATGCATTATCACTCTATTTCTCATTTAGACTAGATAAATATGTTGCACAGGGTGGCCTTGAACTTCTGATCCTTCTTCCTCCCAAGTGCTAGGATTAAAGGTGTGTGCCACTGCCTGGCGTCTATGGTTATCTAGTGGCTAGCTCTGCCATCTGATTTCCAGGCAAGCTTTATTTGTCAGAACACAAACACAATATCATACAACATTACCCCCTTTTTGTCTAAACAAAAAGCGAAGGTTTTAACTAGCATAAAACTATATATAATATGTACAATAACTATATACAAATACGTACAGTCAATAATTATATTAACAATGTTTAGTTCATTAACATTTGACAAATTCAGAGAAAATACTCCATTATGTATCCTATCTTAGTGAGTCCAAAGTGTTGTGCCTAACTTACTTTCTATCTTAACTTGCATTATCAACCCAAAACTATATTTTTATGTCTCTCAACCTTATGCACTTTACATCTCCTTTGTGAGTTTCTTTTCTGAGTTTGTTAAAAAGGAAAACTATAGCCATCTAGTCTTCAACTCCATCAGAAATTTGAGAAGGATATACCTAAAGTTCCTCTGTAATGTTGGAGTATCCATCTTTGGCCTGCAGGATTAGAATATCTGACAAACTCCTCTGTGAATCAGGATAAAGGACTGTCCCACCTTTTCTTGGCAATGTTCTGCAGTCACTTTCTTTTGTGTTCTGTATGTGTCTGCTTTCGACAGCACACTGTCAGCTGTCAAGGCAATGGCAGATTCTTGTGCAGTGGCTAACTTTTGCCACAAAGAAAGTAAACTCCACATGGAGCTTCTTTGATACCCATCATCTTCTCTGAAGTAGATTGGTGCTGTCAGGAACAGACATGCCTCATTGTCATAAAAAAAAAAAAAAAAAAGAACCTTATGTTATTAAAATATCTTAAATGCCATATTCTTTAGATCTCTGATGTGTTTGAAGACCATCTGTCTATCTAAAATATAACTCTGGTTGACCTTGAAAAAATACCTAATATGACTACAAGTTTGATTGTAATAAGTGAGTAACTACTAACCTGCATTTCCTTATTATCTTAAATAGCTTGTAATAATGTCTTCCAGGGACTAGAAATTTACATTACATTGTTAGGTGAGCTCTATAGCTACAATACTTTAAACAAGTGTAGGAACATATGTACAGTACATTCTAACAAAAATAACCTTAAATTTTATCAATATACAAAAATCCATAGTAATGTAAAATATTTAAAACTAGTAATTGCCTATTTGGGTTTAAAGTAAATTCAATAATTTACTTTCCCCCCTATCATTTCTATAACATATATATAGTATAACATAAATAACCTCAACTTTATATCAATATACAGAAATTCAAACTAATGTAAAATATTTAAAACTAGTAGTTTCTT